ATAGAAGGAACCCCACCACCACCACCACCGCCACCACCACGACCCCGTCGTGTTTACAGTGCTTTATCAAACAACGGACAATGGTGTTTCATTTTTTCTGAAAGAATATCTGATTCTGCACAAATGACAAAATCTTAGATAAACTCCCAGCTTCTGAGTGTTCAGGACTTTTACGGTATCTCTCTCAGCTCACTGTTAGTGATACGATTCAGATAGGAAGCGGTCTTCACGTTTTCTTACGCGTCCAATCCATCGTGTGTAAAAAAAAATACAGAAAAGTTCTCCTGACCTCGCGTGCCTGTTAGCAGGTAATGGCAGGTACAGGGAGCAGCGGCAGCCATTACCCTGCAAGAAGAATGACTTAAAACCCCTCTGTGCAGGACTTGCATATGTTGGAGTCTGTCTGTGGCTTCTCAGTCACTGTTGCCTAGTAGCTGACTGAGCCAGATGCAGCTGGTTACCCCTGGCTATACTTAAGGACTTCACCTGCCTCCATCCAGTGCTGGTTCATCAGTCATTCTTGTGAAGTTCACCTGGATCCCCTCTTGTATCTCTCCCTGTAAACTCCTGAGGACCTGCCCTGCACTAACCTGGTGAAACCCTGAAGATCCTCCTGCACCTGTTGGCTGTAAATATCACCTCACACTCACAAGGCTCTTGTAAATGCTCACTTACCACCTGCAAATATGGGTCAAGACACAAGCACCACCTGAGCATACCTGTCACCACCACTGATCAGTTCACCAGCTTTCCCTGTTGGACCCAGGCCTGGACCGGCTCACCCACTTGTAAGTCTGCCTCCTCCTGCAAAGACTGCATCAGCCAGCCTTCACTGCAGATCTGGTTTTGCCTCTCATTTCCCTCTCTTCACAGGTCCAGCAGCTGTCAAGAACTACTGCTCCAGCTCAATAAAGCCACCTAATTGTTTTTTCTGTCTCCTGAATCTCTGTTCACTCTCATTACCTGCCTTCAGACATCTGCCATGAGTCCTGATAGTATATGCCATTCGCAAGACAAATTGACACTGTATTGGCTACAAAAGGAGGCCCTACACCATATAAAAAATTATTGAGGTCTAAAACCAGGTGTTTCAGTTTCATTGTCCATCCCCTGTATATTTCTGCTTTTATTTCTAATTATGCCAGGTTTGGTCCTCCTTAATTTACTATTCATTATTATCAAAGTAGATGCTTAATAAAAAGTCATCAAATCATGATGCTTCTGGCCAGTTCAATATTTAAACATCTCTGTTTCTGAATCTGTTTCAATGCCGCAGTCTCTGTGGATGCTATCTGATATTGAATTCAAGGAGGGTCAATTGTTATTTCTTCTGAGCATTTGGCCCTGTTGTCTCTGAACTGTTATATCTGTGGGTACACTAGATGTCTGTATTAATGTCACTAAGGCAAATCCCTGTATGTTTATTGTGCAGAGCGATTAAAGTGCTGCAGGGACGTGGGCAGGGTAATGTGGGTACTTGTGCGTGTGGAGTCCTAAGTTGCAGAGTTTTTTTTCTAATTGAGTCAGGGACTTATGCTGGCAAGGTAGGCGTTTGAGTAGGGGGGGAGAACTAATCCCAAGCTGCTGTTGTTTTTCATTCCTGCTGGCTGTAGATCAAAATCCAAACAGCAATAGTCATGCATAATGTGAGGCATCATTTCAAAGCCTGCCTCAACTTTGTTAACGCCCTTGTAGCTTACATTGTTTCATCTTTTCTAACAGATTTTCCTCCTCTCTCTCTCCTCTTTCTGTTTTCCTCTGTATATTTTGTCCCATCTGTTTGAAAGCTGTCTGATATGGAGTCATAACATTTCTGCAGCAGACCAGAATAATTCTCTCAGCAGATTAATCACACCTTCAGATCAAAGAAGGTGTTTTCAATGCTCTGAGGACTGTTGGTTTCTCTCTAACTGTAGTGTGTGGTTGTGGCAAAAGGAGAGTAAGCTTCTACCTCAGATAGCAGACATGTCTGAATCAGCAGCTCTTAGGTTGCAGGTGCCACAAGTGATGAGGGTCGCTTCATGAATAGAAAGGGCAAATCCCCACCTCGTTAGCCATCCCTGTGTCTGCACAACATTACACGGTTTCCTTCACAGGTTAACAACACCTGACATCTTTAAATGAGCTAAGGGCACAATAAATGAAGAGAACTAGTGCTAGAAATGACACAAATTATTGGAGTCAACATGATTCACGATGGCCAAACAGAGCTAATAAACCTTAGCAAACATAAAAATGGTCCTAACTCAGTCAGTTTAGCAGATTTTAAACTAAAAGTTTGTCTAGTGATCAGCGGCATCTGATAAATTTTTGAGGTGGCAGGCCATGGATGTGTTTTATCACCTTGCACACTCTATTCATATGTATGGCAAGCCGTTGGGGTCATAAATCGGGCGTGCTTTTACGTGCAAATCCTAACGCGCGGTGCCGTAAATTACGTGCGAACGCGCGGTGGCGCCACGCGCGGTGCCGTAAATAACGCGCGAACGCCGTAAATAAAGCGCGAACGCCGTAAATAAAGCGCGAACGCACGGTGGCGCCACGCGCGGTGCCGTAAATAACGCGCGAACGCCGTAAATAAAGCGCGAACGCGCTGTGGCGTTAAATAACGCGCGGTGGCGTTTTCTGCCATTCTATCATCAAGAGGCTGTCCTGGTTGTGCTCAGCCAATAGTCCTTAAGGTATTTTATCCAATCACTGCACTGCAGGGCAGACACAACCAAACAATCCCTGATCGTTGAAGGAATCCAGCAATATTCATCTCCTGTTTGCTGTAGTTCCCTTTTTTTCTCTCTCTCCGTCTTTAATTTGTTTTCGGCATGTAGCTTACTATCGACATGCCTTGGCTTATGCTTTTAATAGTTTCATGATTGAAAGGACGAACAAACTTGTGTTTATCAACTTGTAGTTCCTCTTACACGACAGCAGGTGTCAGAAAAAGGCTGTAGTCCTACATGAATCCTACATGAATTTATGTGTCAACCAGCATGTTTCGTTTGTAACGAACCCCCCCCCCC